TCGCGGCAATGCGACATCCTCGGATCCAGCAACCGTCTACGGATACCCAACATGCACAGGTAAGGTAAGCCGTCAGAAGGCTTGCGGGGTTTACCACATTTTTTGTCCCGCTCCCGATGCGGTGCACTTTGTTGTTGGCTGCTTGTGATCTTTACCCCACCATTTCGACGTACAAGGCGCCGATTCATTTTCCCACCTTTCGATACCCCCCTCCCACGCCCGAAAACACCGATGTACCCATCCTATCACTAAAGGCATGCGTGGATAAGGTGATGGAGTGGCTGCGCAACTCACGAACCTTCGACCGCGCGCCGACCGGACGCGTGCCGACGCTCGCGGAGCAAATGACAGAGCGACAAAAGATGGAGGTCGAGCTTCAAAACAAGCTGCAGGTTGGTTGGGGCATGCAAGGGTGCCCCGCAAGGTGTGTCGGGGGGTGAAAATGCCTCTCGTGTCATGTTGCATCGCCTTTGTATCCCTCGTTCGAAGTTTCTGCCTACCCTACCGCGATACCTAGATATCTGAAAAAGAGCCGACACGGCGTCACATAGAAGAGTTCCAATGTGTTGCATCCCTTCACGCTTTTAGCGTGAGAAGGGCTAGATAGCTTGCGAGGTTGCCACCCAGACCAATGGCAGTTCGAACAAGCAGTTGAAAACTGGATGTAGCAATGCGCTCTAGGTTGGTACCGGACACAGTGAGTGCTCGGTGTTCCGTTTTTTTTCGTTTTTATTGTTTGAGGTATACAGATAGCGCCCGCACTTACGAACTCAGCAGTTAAGAAATTCGAAAAGTAACCAGAAGCTAAGAACTTGAGCACCATTTGTGAGCCCGGTTGAGAACCCCTACACTAAAACCTATATTGCGGCCATTTGTAGTCCACAAGAGGATGATCAGCAAAATAAGAACCCCAACCTCGGCCGAAACTATAATAGAGGTTCTCAAGTGCCGGCGCCATCTGTAGTTGAGAGAACAACCTCGGCCCAGGACACAGAGTTGGGCAGGCATCCACCCATGCTCGTACCTGGTGTGTCAGCGTACGGTCCCTTTGAGATTTTCCAACACCCGTCCTTGACAGCCAGACCTTAGATGATTAGTACTGCTGTCAAGCGTACGAGTGTCTCTAGTCAACAACCGTTAGATTGGCGCCCCCCTGTCAATGGTTGCACATATGTTGCATCAAGCCTCGGGACCAGCTTCGCTGTACCTGCCAACTATCGTGACAGTAGTCTTACGCCACGCCACACCTCACGGCGTCGTCAGGAGAAGCGGCGCAGAGCGGCGGGCCAGCGGCACTGGGAAGAGTGGGTTTCCCGGAAAGCGCGCCGCGGCAAAACCGGCGGCGCTGTCAACGGCGACGACAACGACAGGCAGAGAGGAGGCGTTGACGCTGGCATCGGGGGGGAGGGTGCACCGGGTGAGGCCTCTGTACGACGGAGACGAGAGCAGAGAGAACGGCAAGAGGATGAGGACCGGCGGCGAAGGAAGGAGCAGGACGAAGCCTTCGCAGCGTGGGCTCGAGAGAAGGACAAGGTGCTCCGCGCTAGGAAAAGAGAGGTATGTGCTGCAGTGCTGCACACACGATGGGTTTTCGTTAGGGGTAAGGCGGCGGCAGTGCTGTTCCTTCATGCCACCACTGGGAATCCGGCGTCAGAGGTGCTGCCGGTGGTTTGAGAGTATGGCCACTTGTCTCAAAGTTACAATCCCAACGTGCTTGCCTTATACAAACGCCATTAACGAGGGGGTTGTACTAAAAACTCCACTGTATTCAAGACGCTGGATGTCTCGGTTTCTTGCACAATTCTCGGATCACTATTATGAGACGACACCGGATCCACAGGCAGGCAATTCTAGAAGGTAGTGGATAGTTCACGTGGTGTTTGGCACTCTGGGGAAACGAAAAAGTGACCAGCGACGGCCGCACCACACAAACAAATGCAATGACCCCCTCTTTACTTATCGTACACGTTGCACAGAAGCGCCGAGAGATGAAGTCGGGAGGGTTGGACACCCTAGAGGCCATCAACAAGAAGCTCCGGGGCGCACGGTGTGCTACCTCCAGCAGGTAGGTTGGTTGAGCCCCGCCGCTCCCCCACCCGCTCACCCATCGCCCCGGTGGGGTTGAGGGAAAGAGGTTGGTCCTGACGACGGTGACCAATACGGAAGATCAGAAAGAAGGCCGGAAAAACGTTTCATCAAGATACAGCCTTCACGAGAAAGGCAAAGAAGATATAATTTTGCGGCTCAATGATTAGATCTGTTATCAACGAGGTGGTGCACATTCAAGAGCTGGTCGGTTCTGAAGCAAGTCTCCATGAGTGCACGTCAAAAGACAAGCACAAGTGTCTCCTCCCCTCTCGCAACCTCCCGCCCCTCCTACTCTCTTACGCACGGTGAGCTAGCTGCCAAGCACCTGCCCCGGCAAGCGACAAGCTAGTACCACTCCCCCACCCCCTTCTCTCATCTTACGGCCCCACGGACTCTCCATTCCTGCCGCTGCCTGCGGTAGGCTTCTCCCCCGCTTGGGGTGCCGTTCGGACGGCGGTTCTCTCACCTCGGTAGTGCAGACCTCGGGGGAGGGTGGCGGTGGCAGGTTGGGGATGAGCAAAAACGTCGGGAGCAGCAGGGGCAAGCGTCGTAGGCCGGCGACGAAGGCGGAGCGTAAGGCGCTCGACCTTGCCGTGACAAGAGTGAGTGGGTATCCGCGCATAATGTGCGGCATCGTGAGAATAAGCACGCGTTGTACTATAAGCAACAGCAAAAATAGGGTATCAGAAGCAAACGGTACGCCGTACGTGAAGAATGACGTTGCACGCTGTTACGCGGAACTAATATTTGCGCCGATAGGTCTTTTCCTCCACGAGTTGTTGTTTCACACACGTTTCTTTGGTCCGGCGGGGGGGTGGTGCACGTTTCGTGTCGCACACGACACGCACAGGTGGCCGTGTCTCCCTACCGAGTGCCCGCGAAGGACAAGTACCAGCACTCCAAGCACATCGAGGGCGGCAAGATCGTCACGAGGTTGGCCAGGAACCAGTCCAAGCCGTTCCCGAAAGCGCTAGTGGAGGTGAGCGGGAGAACGCGGGTTCGAAACGCTCTTAAATACTTTCCTCTCCTCGTATTTCTCAAGTTGCACCTACCCTGCCCAGACATCTGCCAGGAGTAACGCGAGTCGGTGATGGTGTTGTTTCCGCTTCCCCTGCTGTTCATACCGTTATTCTGCACCCCATTCATCGGCGTCGCTACCGTGAACACAAGCTAAACGTCCGCCCTGTTCACCTTGGACATCGGATCCTCGTCGAGTTCATGAGCTTGACCCGTGAAGTATCCGTTCCTCCCCCGCCCCCCCCTCACCTATTCTGCCGCTACCGCAACTTAAATAACTGCTGCCGCAGGAGGGGTGGCACGCAACCTCGCAGCTCCTTGGCTCTGCCGGGATGTCTCTCATCGACCACCCCACTGCTAAACACGCCGCTGTCGCTGCCCGTACCGCTGACGGTGGTAACGGGTCGACAAAAGACGAGCATCACCCCACGGGTCACGCGTTCCTCGGAAACCACAGCAGCATCACGTCACACCGTAGCAACACCAGCAACCGCGGCAACAGGACTAAATCGACCGCTCGCGGCGGAAAAAATCGCGGCTCCGCGCGGAGGAAGCGAGGAGAACAGCGACCTCTCAACAGCCTCGTTGCTCCCGCCGCGGTTGCTGATGATTCTCTTCTCCGGCCTGAAAAGTCGAGTGACACCCCCGCCAGCAGCAGCAGCAGCAGCAGCAGCAGCAGCAGCAGCAGCAGCAGCGGCAGCGGCAGGAACAGCGTGGTCTTTGTAGAGCCGTCTTGCGAGGCAGGCAGCGCCATCCGCTTAGCATCGGTGTCGGATCGACAGTCTCGCGTCGGCGCAAAGGGTTCAGATGGCATTGAGGAGGGAAGAAATACTCGGCTCGTGGGGGACGGGGCACGAGGCACCGGTGACCGTGCGGACGACGGGAACAATAGTGGAGAGGATGCCCAAGATAGCGGTGGAACAGCTGCCGCGGCGGTGGCGGCGGTAGGCGCGCGGCCCGACGGTCGGAGGGGGAACTCTAGGGGGGCTCCTGAGGGCACGGGGTGCGGGAACGGTTTGGATGGGGTAGCTAAGGAAGGCAAGGGGGGGGGGAGCAGAAGGGGATCCTCACATCCTGAGGACATGGAGTTCCCGATCCAGAGCCAAGAGTTGCCTGACTGGGTGGACACGATAAAGGTGGGTGTTTGAGTGGATGGGGTACGTAGGGTCGAGACTGCCCTCTTTGACGCTTGAGAAACCTTCTTCAAGAACATAGTTTCCAGCCCTGTCTCATCGAGATGTCGGTCCAGTTCTTTGTGAATTTTATTAGTCCTTATGTACATGGTTCAGACAGGTCCAGTTCACTGGTGATGCTACAGAAACGATTTTCTGTCGCTCCACCTTACGTGACTTTTTCGACGGTTCACTACGCGTCAGCAATAGGCTAAAGTGGCAGCGGATGCTTGATCATACATGCATGTAGACACGTACGTGTAACAGCCTGTGCCTCTCTTCATACTTAATGAATTTTTTGCCCTGCGATCTGAATGAACCACCTCATGCACACCCTGACACGTATTTCAGGACCTGCCCGTCGACGACGCATACCAGGAAGGAGAGGACGACTTCGAGCCAGACGATGACTCCATACCGCCACCGTCCGAGTTTTGAACAAAATAAATGTCCCTTTCTGATGTTTCTTGGAAAGCCCTACTGCTCTGTAGGGGTTGAGTCCCAGAGCTCCAGACGGCAGCATGCGTCCTTGTCGCGGCTTTTAGCGCCGGGCGATTTAGAAGAGGGTGACCTTCCGACGAAGTGTTGTGCCAGCAGGCAGTCTCACACGCGAGACGCACGGAAAAACCAACACCAGAAGGGCTGTTTTGATACCATCGATCAAGGGTTGCTATCGCGGCTCTTGCGAAGTGTGGCTGTCGCATATGTTCAAGATTGGAGAAAAAAAATGATCGTCAATGTTATTATTCCACCGCAACCACTGCCCTGGCGGGGAGAGCGTCTTGCTATTGGCTTCACTCCGTAATTCTTACCAACTCTGGACTCCGCGAACACAAAGGTTGACTAAAAGATTGATAGCAAAAGGGGTGTAGGAAACAGCGCGGAATGCCGGGAAACGCGTGGCATTTACAGGAACGTTTCTTACCTAGCATAGCGACAACAACCCGTACCGACCAAGATATCGGCAAGTTTTGAATAATTTTCCTCTGTATCTACACGGCAAAGGCATCCTTAGTCATCGTTTGGACCTCAGCCTCCTTGTTCATTGTATCCCTCTTCCTCTTGACCCAAACAAAACAAAACACCAAGAGATCAGGTCGCGCATCCAACCGCCGTAGCCTTGCGCAACCTAACCCAATGTTGGTAGCCCGTTATCATACACCCTTCGACCTTCGTTTGTACCGCTGTCCCTTGCAACGTAGCACGCGCAAAGGAGAAAAATTGTCGCAACAGTCGAATCCTCCCCCTCCTCGGACATGCCACGTGGATATTATTCTGAAACCCATCGTGAACAGGTCCGTTCATGAAACACAGAGCGCGGTAGACATGGTGCGCGTAACTAAATACAAACCCTTTTAGGCAGCCTCCACAGCAACCTGCTCTATCTCTCCCCTGACCTCTGCCTAGGCTCTGCCGTTCGGCGTCACCCCCCACCAACCTAGTGGATCACATGCCCTTTCCAGCAATTCCCTTTGTCAGGGGCGGGGACGGGCAGGCACACAACTGTCCACGCAACAGTGCTGTCATCGCAATAGCCCCATCTCATGGCCGACACGCTCCCCCCCCTACACGCTAAGGCACGAATGCACTCCATGACACCACCATCCATACCAATCCCGCACGTTATCCCGGCAATTACGTCACCTACGGCACACATCGCCATCTACGGCCTGACGCATCACTTGTTCGGCGCGCGTACAAGCAAGAGTCGTCGACGGCAGCAAGACGAGCTCTAAAAGCAAAACGCCATTTCTTTTTTTTTTTACACGGGCTTTACCAGTCGAACGAAAATACTCTTGAATCGAATGCAGTCGATCGGTACAAGACACAAGGCAAGCGTAGTCCCCTTATTTTTGTCTCCACGGATGCAGAGTCGAACGGAATTGAGGCCCGGTCGATCGGTGCATCGCACGAGGAGGCGACTTCCTGCGCGGAATCAACTGAAAACACCAAGGGAAGAACCACGAGCCGCTACTCATACCGGTCTGGAAGACACGCAACCCACAAGACCCTCCCCCGCGGCCAACAAGCTGCAACAGCTTGGTTACTTGACACCCACAAGAGAAAGGCGTTCCTCTCTCCTCTTTCACGCTGCAACTCGTCTAGCTACGCTCAAGACCAAAACGTAATCCAACTCTTCACGTGCGCGAACAGCGATCAACCCTCTTTGCGAATCACGAATGAATCCCCATAAAACGCTAGTAGGTAGCCAACCCTGGGCAATCTCCAAGCTACAATCGTACGTGGCGGCTCATGGTCAACTAGAATGTGCAGGTTCGGCATCATAACCGTCCCAAGCTCCAGGCTCCTACAAATCTTCCTGAAGCATAGTGTACCGTTGAGACTCATCTCACCAACGAGCTGCCGTCGAGATGACACTCAAATCAGCAGCGGCCGCCGCATGCTTCTATCCGTTCCCGACGAAATACAACACATAAGCGCTGGTTCTGTTTTCGGAGGGCTGGCAGCGTGCGTGCATAGCCATGGTGCTCGACTACCCTTTCCTACAACGGTAACCGATCCAAACGCAGTGACGTACACGGAAACCATTCCGTACACCACCCCATCCCGTTTAGAAAGGGCCCTAACGTTAACCAACCAACCCCATGGTAGCCTAGTACAAGTTCGAAATACTCCACTGCTTGAGATCGGAGTAGAGTTGGTTCCACGCCTCTCTCCACCAGTTGTACGCTTGAAAAAAATTACCTCAACATAGACGAAGTCATCGTCATCGTCCCTCCGCCGCATGCTCCCGGGAGAACATCACTCGGGTTAATGTAGAGGGATAAAACAGTTTAGAAACAGTGCAGAAAACGGTTACACCAGGGATAGAAGTGGAGACAGGGTCACTCGTGATCGACGGAGAGAGCCAAGCTACGACATCGCGACGTCCTCGACCTCGTCGAACCAACCGTCTTCCTTGGCCCCACAACCGCCACCCCCGTCAGCCTTGGGGGTCTTCTTGCCTCCCCCGTCCTTGCCTCCTGCTTGTTGCTCCAGGTAGCTCTCGAGCGTGTCCTGCCCCTTGAGGAGAAGCACACTATCAATACCAGGAAACGACGAACACAACACAAGGCAAGATTGAGCGAATCAGTATAGAGGACGACGGGGGTTCGGGGGGGTTTGGGGTGTGTTGTGAACTTTTCTTTCGCAACAAGGAACAACATATCAGATGTCATAACAAATGTAACACATCTGGCACTACCGAAATGATGGTTTCAGGGTCGAACCCACCTGCCGTGTAGAGAAAAAACAACAACGTAATCTGTAGCGTGGCGTCTGGCCGGGAGCAGAGAATACACTCTCGACAAGAATCTTTGCAATCGCCGTAAAAAATGCGCCATTACTCTGGTTCTATGGACCCCCCTGCGGTCACCCATGCCCTCTTTCGCTCTCTTCCAACGAAACGCCTTGCGTCTACGCTTGCGATCCATCCGCCAGCTCCGCGTCGTTGGTGTCCTGTACCTCTACAAGCCTGTCCCCTTGCTCAGTCTCCGTCCATCGCTCAATAGAAAAAAATCCTCGACCCCGGCATCGCCTCCCTACACGAGCTCCAGACTTTCACTGGTCCCCCCCCCCCCCCCCCCCCC